TTTCACTTATATCAATTAATATTTATAGAAAATAACTTTCAAAAAAATAATATTTATTAGTAATAATTTTATAATAATAATGTACATTCATTATATATACACACACACACACACACACACACACACACATATACGTACATACATACATACATACATACTTACATACATACATACATACTAAAATTTATAGTTATTTTATTTTTAATTAATTATTTATTGTATTTTTGATAAATATGTTTCAATAATTATTTATAATTCTATTTTTGTTTTTTATTTAACAATAAATTGTCAATAATTATTGGAGATTACAAAACTATTATTTAAATTTTGAAATTTAATTTATCCTATTTATTGTATTTTTGTTATAAATTTATTTTTAGTAATCATGTATTTTTTATAATTTATTGATTATTATTTAGTAGAGAATAAACTATTATTTGATATTACACTATTTATTGACTAATTTAATATATTTTTATTAGATATCTATTGTATTTTCATTGTAAATTTATTTTCAATAATTGTGTATTTTTGCTATAAATTTTCAATAATATAGGAGATTAAAATATTGTTATTTGTTAAAGGTTAGACTATTAATTTAGTTTAAATTAGGAGTGTTCAAGGATTGGTTCAATTCAGTTGTAGGCTGTTTTTCCAACCAAATTGACTTGGTTAGGTCAAGAGTTTATCACTTGAAACGATTGACTATTAGTGAAAATCTACCAACTCGGGTTGCTTCAGTTTGAGTCTATTTTCGGTTTGGTTTGACTGTTCAAAGGATTTAAACTTAAAAATTAAATTTAAATTTAATAAATTATAGTGGTATTATTAAAAAATAAATTTATAATATAAAATGTTTTAGACTAAGAAATATGAGAATTTTCCACTTTTTTTGTATTAAAAAATTATATTTAAAATATAAAATATTAATATATATATATATATATATCTATGGTCGGGTTAATTCAGTTTTGGTCGATTTACTAATGGCCAAATCAAAACTGACATAACTTGGTCAAGTTAGAACATTGCTAAACCAAAACTGATCGGAAATACTAGAAAACTGACCAATTTAGATCAAGTTTAATTAGATTAATTATTAAAAATTAAAATATAAAACAATTATATACTCTTATCTATTTTATATAACAAAACCCATGCATCGCACCGAACCCCGCTAATATAGAATAATATAGTACATACCAACAGCACGACGAGAGTCCACGTCGCTTAACACCACTGACTTATTTAAGGCATTAAAGCCACTCACATTTGATGATAGCTATTTGTATTTGAAACATTAGGCGTTGGATAAGTCCTACAAATTAAAGATGGTCCAGCTCAGACTAAGCCATAAGCTCAAAAAGAAAAAGTATATTCAGGGAAAGAACTCCGGTTTAAGGAATAATAATCTTATCATCTGGCAAATCACGACAGACCACATCATCTCCGTACACATTGATACCACAATTCAAACCTCACATTTCATATTGCTTAATGTGCGATGTCATGATTGGCCGATATCCTCCGTAAGGATCTGAAGTGCACATTAACTACGTGCTACCCAATGTGTACCAATATCAGCCATGGCGTCTATTCTGCCACGGGATAATAACTCCACGGGGTAAGTACGGCTATTACTTCCCTGGAGCCAAAACCGTAAATAGTATACACAATTCCACGTTTGTGACAAAAAAATACATTGACCTGTTCTGGACTTACCAAGTTACCTTTGTTCTGGTTTTCATATGGTAACTCTATAGGACCAACAAGGGTTGGGCCCTCAGATTCACCATTTGATTTTATCCAACACAAGAAATATTCTAAATAAGAGGAGGCTGAAGGGGAGAGTATGCATGCCATCTCTTGGATGCCAGTGACAGTAAACCCAACCCAAATGAGATTGGGTTTAGTGGGGTTAGAATCTGGTTTTGATTGATTGATTAAGTGAATCCACCTGAATTTGGTTTAAATTGGGTCCGGGTGGAAGTAAACCCCAACTCAACACCCCTTTCACATCTCTAGGTGTAATGATGTAGTTGGTTTACTTTATTAATATATATATTAGTAATTAACCACATGCACTGTAGGTAAGAAAATTTCTTCGTATTAATTATTTAAATTTTAATTATATCATATTTAATATAGAAAATAAAAATTAATAAAAATAACAATGTGATTAAGAATAAACTTAAATGCTTTTAATAAACGTGCATTGTGGAAATTTTACACTATAATAACAATTATTATTATTATTATTACTATTATTATTGTTATTATTATTATTATTATTCCATTTCTGTCATAAACAAAAATATTTTTTATTTTAACAATTATTTTTATTCAATATGATGAATATAAAGTTTATAAATGTTCCCAAATGTTTTCATCACAGTTCTCTAATTTTTCATTTTGTGTTTTATCTTTTTTTTTTAATATTTATTATTCAATTGCGGCATCATGAGTTTCTTTGAAAAGTTGAATCATTAACTCACAATCTAGATAAAAAAAAAGCTTTATTTTCGGATTAGTTTTAAATTATATATTTCATCTACATTATATAAATAGTTTTTACTAATCACACTTAATTCTTGTTTGACATAATATATATATATATATATATATATATATA